AAGAGAGGCATTTTATAGCCATCGTTTAAAGTGACTTTGCTCTGCAAGCCTTCTCCATCTACGGCCATTCTTGTAAGGCCCTTTATTTGTAAAACTGGCAATCCAATTTTTAGGTGAAACCTTTGTAGCAAGAGCGTTTTCAAAAGGCGTAGATTTGAGGCAGGCATCCGCATTACAATACTTCACTGGCCCCTTCGAACGTTAGCAGACTGAGCACTAGTCTTGTGGTACTCCGCTGGTCACGGTTGTCACCGAGCGCTTTTGTAATACAAGACTGTCTTGGATTCCAGGAACTGGATTGCGGATTCTTTGTCAATAGAACTTATATTCCGGATTCCAATCGTTAGCGGAATTTCGGATTCCTTGAACTGAATTCCGAATTCCAATATTCCTGATTCCATAAGTAATAATTTCCCGGATTCCAGATTATCTTACCTGGCGCGACTACTGACATACACAACAATAGAAGCACACGCACACTAGGCTTTTTGCATAAAATTCTGCCGGTAGAATTTCTAGCAGAATAAGCGATTTTTGAGGCGAGCATTCTGCCGGCAGAATAAGGCATTTTCGAGCAGAATAAGGGAAATCAGCAGCACTAATAATATACATAACAGTGGTAAGAAAACTTTAAAACAACAGTAAAAAACAAATGGAAAAATAAGCCTTGTGAATAATTTGATTATTTAATAGCTACAACGTACTCACATTAAACTCACATTGCGCATAATGATTTATCCAATTAGTTTTTACGAGTAAGGCCCAGGTTCCATTCTACATTTGCGAAAAAAAACTGAATACGGCCCGGAGGGCCTAAAATTTTTCGGATACCGAGCAGAATTCGAGCAGAATAAGGGTGTCCGACCAGAATTTTGAGCAGAATAAGCGATTTTTACGAGCACTGCCGGCAGGCAGAATAAGTCATTTTATGAGCAGAATTTATCCTAGCCTAACACACACGCGATCACAATAGGTTAATATATGATTGTAGAGAATTTGACGTTTAGATAGAGGCCGGTGTGCCAGAGGCTATCATTGACTTGAGTGCGGGTTATTTTGACAAAATTTCATTATTTTTTTTTGCCAACTTAGAAGAACTGTTTGTTTCAGGAGGGAAAAGGGAGCAGAAAAAAACACTGCAGACCAAGAAAGTGTTACTTCCACCACGGGTGTCTCCGTCCCAAAGATGAAGCCACCGTTTTCCCTCCACTACCAAGAAAAGGTCCCTTTTTAAACACCCCCACTTTGGAGGACGTTTCCTAACGGCATGCCGACCGTTCAAAGAGGGTATTTTCAGTTGCCGTCAAGATAAATGGAACCGATTATTTTCTAGCCAGAACTAAGCTGAATATATGCAAAATCTATAGCTACTGGATTTTAAACCTACTATGGTGTCCGCATATAAGATGGTCGTTAACTATACAGGGGTACCCAACGAAGCCGGTTTCCTCCTAAATGTATTGAAAACACTTTTTAGGGCTATCCGGGGTACTTTTAGATGTCTAAAAATGCATTCTAAGCGAAGATATAAAATTTGTATCTGTTCGGTCATCTTAGGGGAACTTGATTCTTTTAGAAATTTCTGAGCTCTTCAATATTTATTTACCAAAAATTTTAGATCCAATTTTAAAACGTTAAAACGTTTTACAAAACTGAGAATTTTTCTGATTTATCTCCCCATCACATTTTCGAACCCAGAAATTTTAGTCTTCTTTTGTCCACGAAAAATAGCCTAACCTTGGAAAAGAAATATAAAAAATTAAACTTCAGAAAATCGTAGGGAATCTATTAGATAAGAGCTTCCAGAAAATTCCTCAATGGTCAGGCGCGAATAATATGTAAAATCAAGGTGTATGAGCAGACTGTAACCTTTCAATAGGGCTGACAATTATAAACGCAACTAACAAGGTAAGACAGAAACACATGTGGCATTTGAATGCTGTTTCACCTGCATTTTTATTGTAATTTTAGCTTAAAATGAACACATATGTTGTATACAACTTTCTGAAAAGCGCAAAAAGTGCACCGAATACCTAGCAAGCAAAAACAAAAACAAAAAAGGAAGAAAAGTTCTCTAAAATTCTTCTTCCCGTAAAATCATTGAAACTCTCACTAGCAACAATTCAAAGCACTGACCAAGCATATCGATTCCTATCACCAGGTCTGGCAAGAGATTACCAGCAGAAAAGATTTAGTTAAAAGCAAACAATAAAGTTTGAAAAAAACTATCACTATAGTATGCTACATGCTAACGGCTCAACTTTGTTTCATTATGGGAAGCAGGTTTCTGAAATTGGAAGTACGCGTCTTATGTAAGCGACGTATCTTATCCGAGACACGTCGTTTTATTTTACTTTTATGTTTTCGTATAAATGGCCTTCAGTGTTTCACTACTATATATTAATCAATTTAGGTACATTTTATAAACAATTATGGAACTACTATTTGGTTGCTTAACACTTAAGACTAGCCTGGGCGCAGCAGACGTTATTTTGGTCATCCAGGCGGGTTTGGGTTGCGAGCACCAGAGCCCTTCTAAGTGCCCTAAATAACGCTTGTTACATGTTCAGGCTACAAATAAAACAATCAGCGGGGTCTTGAATGTGACAACTAGCGTTATCATAGTGACATCTTTAAAACGGAAATCTCCATAGTAGTTGCTTTGTCCCTTCGGTGTCTGTGGACAGGGCTCAACTGTACGGATTAGGCTTCTACTGGTTTGATTTTCATTTCAGCCCGCTTGGTGGAGTAATGATAACCTTTCCAGCGCAACCAGTTTACACCGTTGGCATAAGAGGAGTGATTCCCATTAAGATAGCGACCATTTAAGTTGGAGACATGACATGTTTTGTACCACCAGGCTCCCTCGAACCAAATGGCACAACTCCCGTTAGCTTGGTCATTGTCTTGATCTTTGGTGGAGAATGACATTTTATGATGCACTGTAAGAGAGTCACCGGCAGTCCCTAAAATTATAAACACAAATCTCATTTCTTACCGTAGATTTTTATTAATGGTCCTAACTAACCTTTCTTTAGACGTTTCGGCGGGAAAATGAGAGAGTAGCGGCACTCCAAATAAGTAAAATGGGCATTTTTACCGTTACAAATAGGGCATTTAACCTCAACTATGTTACAGTCTACTTATCACACCCTTGTAAATGAACGTAAATAGGTGATACTTTCTAGTCTACACATTTGCTCCGGATACTGACCTGAATAAAATGCAAAATTAGGTGTCTCTCGATTTCTTCAGCAGAGTCCCAGCCAAGTTACTGACTGGAGAGTTTTTTACTCTAGCCAGTTCCATTAGTTATCATCATTTCTATCATAATAGTTACACTTTAAACGGCTCACATCTAGAGCGTTTCACAGGACGAAATAACGTGTTTCCGTATTTTGTAAACTCGACGGAAATACGGGAAGTTTCTTATATCCGTTACGTTTTTGTAACAAACCAACCCCTTCTTGTTTTTTGCCCGGTCCGTTTTAAATTAAAAAGAGATCAATTCCATTTAGCAAAGTTTTATTCACACAAAAAGAAATGTCAGTAAGATTGGCTGATCGATTCAGAATAAATGGGGTTTGCACTAGCTAGCTTTTTCTCAGTCGTCGCCTTGGTAGCACCAGTTGACCAAGTGAACTCTTTTCAGCCACATGACCTCTAGTTGTATACCTCTCCATCTCACTTAATCCTCTTACTGATGTTTCGATTATATTCGGTTGAGTTACCCCATGACATAATTGTAAGCAGTTTACCAGCTTTCTGCGGATGGAGTAAGCTGGGACAGCTATTCTAAAAAGGTACCTGCAAAAGGCAAGACTTTTAAAGAATTTTGACTAAGTTTTAAGTAGCAAAACGAGATGAGATTGAGTCTCTTTGGTTGAAGATAAAGGCCACTGGCCTGCCGAACAACGAGCTAAGAAACTATATTATTTTACAGAGCCAGGATCGACTACTCCTTCGCCTTGTAAGGCTTGGTAAGTTTATTTAAGATGTTTCGCACACTTTCTCCCTAGCATAATAAGAACAGGCTTCGTTATTTGCCGTCTTCTCCCGACACTTGCCACTTGATATGAGCGTTGATCAGAGGTTTGGAATCAGGAGCTGCTAAAGGCTTGCAAGAGACCATGTATTGTCTGTTGAGCATGGTCAGCAGAAAAATACAAGTTACAGTAACAAGCGCAATAACAGATGCCGTGATAACAGGGTTTTGTCCATTGAAAAACCTCGTTTTCACTGTCGAAAGAGAATGTATAAAATCATTGTTCGGGGTGCAGAAGGAAATCATTGGCTAAAGGTAACGTCCATTGTATGAATTTTTTCTTATTAAGTCCTTGTTTGGCAGTCAAAAAACCCAGACCAATTCGATATTTCAGTGAATGTAAGGTATAGTTACAAAAAATGAGTCAAAACAAAATGAGTCAATAGCTAGGCAACTCCCAACCGAGAGTCAGCGGTGTACTAAAAAAAGTCGTATTGCGTACACTTAAGTACAGGAACAAATTGTTACGCCAAAAATACAACTAAGTTCTTAAACGAGAGCAGGTCCTTCCCCTTAGAGCATTTTTTTGTCGGAAAACTGTTCCTGATCACCTCACAGCAGTACTGATCCCGATCCCACGACTAAGGATCCCAGATCCCGGGCCTGTGATCCCTGATCCCACCCCATTTTTTGCCTTTTATCCCTGATCCCATATAACTCGTTACGACCCTGAAGTTCGCCTATATCTGTCAAACAAAGCGAGTTGGAATAATCACGCGTGCTTATAGCAAGCTACTATGAACAAACTATTCTTACAACACTCTCGAAGAATCGCGTTAAAACAATGCAATCGCTGAAACATAGTAGATCGGTAAAATTAAGAAACGTCTGAGTTAAAGATCGGGTACAGGAATACCGAACAACAGTTGCCAGTTTTTTAAATTACTTCTAAGTTTTTAAATTTAATTCTTTAATTTAAGCCCCGTTGGTGGATAGCTAAGGATAATTTAGGGATAGTCGCTTTAGGGATAGTCTATGACGTCACCCATTATTTTTAACCTAGGGTAAAATTACGTTCCTCCATACTAATTAAGTGCCTAGTCAGTGTCTTCCTGCATACTAATTCGGTATAGGTTTACTAATGAGCGTCTCTCTACTACAATAGGCACAAAAGGCTTGCCTCGGCTTGCCCGTTAAGTAACTTGTGCCCGGTTTTCGGACCGTCTATTAAAATGAAAATAGATGGAATAAGAGAAGCGATCACCTAGCAACGCGAGAAACGGCTTCCTATATCTTATTTAGCGCTAAAACTCAGATACCAAAGAAACCAAGAGAGATTGGAACAAAGATGGAAACACCCATTCTCGCCCTTGGAATATGCGAATTTCACTAAATTATTTTTACACCAATTAAACGCTTCAAATTTATCGGAAGTTGGTTTCTGGAGTGGTCCGCAAACTTTTATTCAGTGTTGTCAGTTAGAATAGGGGGTTATTATGCTCTCTTGGTGTGTCGCAATAAGGCTCTGTCCACACTAATGCGTTTTTGTTGTCAGCGAAAACACAGCGATCGATTCGCCTCCAAAGCTACCGTTTTGATGCCTTTTTGACTGTCCACACTAAAACGTCCAAAAACGGTACAATTGCACGTTGTGACGTAAGTTGAACCCTACGCGCATGCTACAAATGCTAGCCTGTGTGGCAGGCGTTTTAAAGGGATGGGAAAGGGAGTTTAAGGCGCGAGAGAAACGCGCGTGGTCTCGCGCCCTAATTCCCTTCCCTTCCCTTTCGAACGCCTGCCACGCAGGCTATACAAATGCACGCCCCTGCGATATTTTACGACCCACGTGGTACATATGACGTCATCGTTTTCGTTTTGATGCGTTTTCGACCATCCACGCGATGCGATACTTTCAAAAGCGTTTTCCAATCGATGCGTTTTGGATGAAAACGCTCAGCGTATAGGTGTGGAAGGCGGGCCTTAACACAGCGAAATAAATACATTTTCAAACGAAAACAAATTATTTTGGACGAGGCGTTAATCGTGGTGGACTTGGTGGTGACGTTTCAAAGAATTGATTTAAATGCGCGGAATAAATTTCCGTTTAATCCAGCCTCTAAATATAACTTTAGTGTAAATCACATATCTCGGCCAGCGGGCTAAGATTGCCTCCCCGACCGATTATTCTCTCTTGTTGGAACATTATTCGAGAAATAATACTCGCATTCAATTTCTTTTGATAGAATGGTTTGCCCGATAAATCGCAGCGTGTTTGTTGGCTTACAGATCGCGCCCATAAATCGTATAAACTTTAATTTAAAATTACTGCACTGGCCTTACGACGGCGTGGAACTTCATTATTATTTCTTTTTTAAATTTGGTGTTGCGTCTTACCAGCGTATTGTCCAATAAGTTCCAGCTTGTACTTGCTGTATTCATCACCAACACCAAATGAGTCGTATTCAGCGTAAGCTGCTTGGCTGTCGAAGTCTTCCAAATCAACCCGAAGCTTGCTGTGTCCATTTGTCAGGCGGTGTATCTTGTCCAATCCGAGCCAAAACTCACTATTCAGATTTCCGAAACCGTGTTCGTAGTCATCCCAGCCACGGTAGAAATCTACCGAGCCGTCCAGTCTCTTTTGGAACACAGTCCACCCCCCACCGGCTGTTGTTTGGTCACAGTATACTTGAAAGGTTCCAGCATTGTCAGGGTCGATGGTATAAACACCGCTGTTTCGAACACCAGCTTCA